AGGCAGAACCTCAACAAATTGAGATGATGCTCCGGAGCATTCGAGAAGCTGGGGACGGGGGAGACCATGCACTTAAAAATAGCAGTCTTCGATTTAATTTAAGATAATTTTGATGATATTTAATTTGTGTTTATATATGTGAGTATAAGGGGTGAGTGCAGACATGTCACAGTGTGACTTGGGGCGAGGGGGGAGGGAAGGGGGCGTCTTGATCGAAAGCAGAAGGAGTGACGACCCTAAACGTCAAACCCACTGCCTATGTTCATTGCGGGGAGTTCAGAGTCTGCTCCCGGCGCTGCCCTGCGGAATGGGCGCAGGCGCGACCCCGGCAGGACAGTTTGTGTATATATATTTTTGACCCAAGCGTTTAGAGAGTGTGGTTCAGACGGTGGGTATGCATTGTCAGTATCCCCGGATCCCTCCGTCTCCATCCTTTATAGACTTGTAAGATTAGGGGGAACTTCCGGAGTTACATGGTAGAAAGAAAAGTAGGATGTTACTGCCATACTGTGTGTCTTAATATTTAACTTATTCTGAACTATAGTCCACGCCGGTGTACACCTTTACTGTTGTAGACAGGAAGCATGATCGGTCCCATCTCGTGAAATTCGACGTTTACAGTTCTCTAAAAGCCCGGGGTAGGGAAAAAGAAGTCAATTTCATATGAAGACTTCAAGGTCACCGTCTTTGAACGTTATGGTTGCTTTAAGTAATGAAAAACATCCTTAGAGAGAATTGCGGGTGGTAAGAGAGAGTATTCCCATGGCCTAAAGGTGAAAGAAGCCAACAAGCTGTTACTGATTTATTTCAACGTTTAAAAATAAATAAATGTGACAACTTCAAACTTGTCTGTGCTTAAAGGGAGATAGATGTATTATTGTTCATCGGTTTTGTTACCCAGCTGTTCACTATTCCCGGTTTCCCAAAGTGGAAAAAAAAAAAGTGTATACAAATGAGTTTTCTATGATTTAATAAAAATATATGGCATACTTTTTGTTTAAGAAGACAAACATTTTGTAAAGCCAGTTTTGTTTTACATGGGCTGCTTGTTGTGTGGGTGCTGGTGGTCACACACACATACACACACTCACACACACACACTCACACTCTCACACTCACACACACTCTCACACTCACACACACCACGAATCTTACAGAGCTGAAAACCCAGGGGAGGGCTGGAGGACTGGCCCTCGGATCAGTAACCTCTGCCACCTCAAGACAGGAAAGGCAGCAATTCTTGAGGTCCAAAGAAAGGAAGTGGTACCCTTGGTCGGTTCGGCTCAGTGGATAGAGCGCTGGCCTGCGGACCGAAGGGTCCCGGTTTGATTCCGGTCAAGGGCACGGACCTCAGTTGCAGGATCCTCCCCAGCCCAGGCCCTGGTTGAGGCTCCTGCAGGAAGCAACCAGTCCATGTGTTTCTCTCACATCGATGTTTCTCTCTGTCTTTCCCTCTCTCTTCCACTCTCTATAAAAATCAATGGAGCCCGGCTGGCATGGCTCAGTGGTTGAGCATGGACCTGTGAACCAGGAGGTCACGGTTCGATTCCCAGTAAGGGCACATGCCCGGGTTGCGGGCTCGATCCTGTGTGGAGCTATATATATATGTGTGTATATATATATATATAATATTTTTTAATGACGTGTGTCTCTGTGGTGCACGCTGGTCCCTCTGGGGCCTTTCTCGCGCCTCACACTATGCTCTCTCTAGGGCAGTGATGGCGAACCTCTGACACGCATGTCAGAGGTGACATGCGAACTCATTTTTTGGTTGATTTTTCTTTGTTAAATGGCATTTAAATATATAAAATAAATAGAAAAATATGTCTTTGTTTTGCTATGGTTGCAAAGATCAAAAAATTTCTATATGTGACACGGCACCAGAGTTAAGTTAGGGTTTTTCAAAATGCTGACACGCCGAGCTCAAAAGGTTCGCCATCACTGCCCTAGGGTGTCTCCTTCACCCCCACGGCCTTAACTGTCTGCCCCAGCAGGGTCCTTGGAGCTGCCCTCTGGACTGTTCTTGCATATCACGGAATAACCAACAGCTTCTCCAGCTCAACCTGTCCCAACTCACTGTGTCATTTCCCTGCCAATCAACCTTTCCCTCCTCCTGCTTCTTTGCATTGAGGGATGGCGCCACCACCTGGCCAACTCCCGGTAAACACCCGGGGCCGCCCTGGGTCTGGTTAAGAGCCGGCTCTCCCTGTCCCACTGTTCTTAGCTACTCCACCTACTAACCCGGTGGCTTCGGCCAAGTAACAGCTTCTCTGGGTCTCCCCTCCTCCGCATTCGCCCCTCATCTGGGGCTTTCCTTGCGGACGAGAGGGGCCACATGCTAAGCTGACAAGCTCAGGGAAGGCCTGCGTGGCAATCTTGCAAAGTAACCACAAAGGACGGTCTGAAATTAAAACTTGAACTAGCCCGGCTGGCGTGGCTCAGTAGTTGAGCATCAACCTATGAACCCAGGAGGTCAGGGTTCGATTCCGGTCAGGGCATATGCCCGGGATCCCCAGGGTGACCCTGCCTTAGGGGGTATGCAGGAGGCAGCCAATCAATACTTCTCTCTCATCATTGATGTTTCTATTTCTCTATCTCTCTCCCTTCCTCTCTGAAATCAATGAAAAAAATATGTTTACAAACAAAAACAAAACAACAACTTTAACTAAAAGCAGTTGCAGTGGGTAGTCATGTCCTAGGCCGGTATTTTCCCTGACAAGGTCAATTTTTACTTAACTGAGCCTGTTGTCTTTTTGCATCTAAGATAACACACCTATGAAATGTCTGAGTAACTGGTAACTTCTCTTTCCCCCTCCACAACCAAATGCGCCCGGGCAGCAGGACAGGGACCATAAATTCCTTCACTGTTACTGTTATCATGTTCATTATTGATGTTAACTACCCCGCACCACCTCAGTAAAAGAAGTGTGTGTCTATCGTTTTATTTTTTGTCCACTCCCAGAGTCTTCCCAGCCTGGCTTTCTCCCGCCTCCCTCATCTATCACCAATGGATATCATGTAACCCACGTACGTCTCCTCTCTCGATTGTAACGTCTAAATTACAGCGGTTCTCAACCTGTGGGTCGCGACCCCTTTGGCGGTCGAACGACCCTTTCACAGGGGTCGCCTAAATACATCCTGCCTATCAGATATTTACATGATGATTCCTAACAATAGCAACATGACAGTTATAAAGTAGCCACGAAAATAATTTTATGGGTGGGGGTCACCACAACATGAGGAACTGTATTTAAGGGTCGCGGCGTTAGGAAGGTTGAGAGCCGCTGGACAAGGTGGGAGGGGGGTTAGAGATCCACCAAAAGACTTGTCTGCATGCACATTAGCATAACCGATGGACACAGACACTGAGGCGGTGGGGGCTGGCCCTCAGGGGTAGGAGTGGTGGCGGGAAGGGTTAATGGGGGCGGGGGGAGGAGACATATGTAAAACTTCAGACCAAAAAAAAATCAATCAATCAATCAATAAACAAGGTGAAAACCACCATTCTCCGGAGCATTATCCCTGTCCGTTGAGATTCTGCTTCCAGCAATTGTCGACAGTTTGACTCAAATAAACTCACAAAAATTCTTTACAGGTTTGAATGTTTTTACGTTAACGCAATCCACAGGCACGAATTGAGAACTCACCTACTGTGTGCCAAGCACTGCCGAGTGTACAGTGGTGAGGTCAACGTACAGGGTCCCTGCTCTGGTGGAAGTTAGAGGCCAACCAAGGAGACAGGTATGAAACCAAAAAGTAAAAATAAATTATATGCGCGGCCCGGCCTCGGTGGCTCAGTGGGTGAGCGTCGACCTATGAACCAGGAGGTCACGGTTCAAATTCCCGGTCGGGGCACATGCCTGGGTTGTGGGCTCCATCCCCAGTGTGGGGCGTGATGTTTCTATCTCTCTCTCCCTCTCCCTTCCTCTCTGAAGTCAATAAAAATATAGTAAAAGCAAACAAATAAACAAATTATACATGCGGAATTTCCAGAAGAGAGGTCTCTATCATCCACTTGCTAGCATCTCTCCTGGCCAGGCCCATCTGACTGAGGGGATGGGGTCATGACCTCTCCCCCTCAAGGTTGGCCACTCTGAGTCTCCCCTCCCAGGTGTGTGGCTACAGAAAGGCAACTTAACTGTCAATTATCAATGCAACTCTAAGTCTCCAGCCTTGAGGCAGCATCTTCATTTATTTTAAATATATTTTTTATTGATTTCAGAGAAGAAAGGAGAGGGAGAGAGAGACAGAAACATCAATGATCAGAATCATGGAATGGCTGCCTCCTGCACGCCCCCTACTGGGGATCAAGCCTGCAACCTGGGCAAGTGCCCTTGACCGGAATGGAACCTGGGACCCTTCAGTCCTCAGGCCGACGCTCTATCTACTGAGCCAAACCAGCTAGGGCTGGCATCTCCATTTATATTCAAATTAACCTGAGCCTCCACCGCACACTGATGGAGAGAAAACTGATCTCAGTAATCACTTTCCCCGT